GCAGCCCTGCAGCAGTGCAGGATTGCAAGGGCTGCATGGAGGCTCCCCTTGGCAGCACTGCCAGCCTGTGCCCCCTCTCTGGGGTCCCTGCTGCTGGCACAGTGTGCCACAAGCTGAGCAGGTCTTCCAGTTTTCCAGCTTTGTTATTTGAGTCTAAAAACAAATGGTCCTTGATGCTTTCCAGTCTCCAGAGGGATCAAATTATCATTTTATTGGAGGGCCATCCTAGCTGGGAGAGGCTTTTTTCACCATGCTGTGAAAAAAGGTGCTGAAGCACAATTTTCTTGGAAATTATTTATGCCATAGTATATGTCACTTTTCTTTATATAGGTCTTATTTTTCCCATTGACTAATTTGAATTCAGGTAAGATTCAGAGAATGTCAGAGATTTCTTTAAAGTAAAAAGATGCTTCTAGAATAATGGCAGCTGAGGCCAAGTCAAACTGCAGCCCCCAGCTACTGCACCTGAGGAGCTGAGGGGTCTCTCCTGTGAGCTGGGTGACTTTGGTAGCTCCTTGCTCATTTGAACAAAACCAGGCTGAGCATGACCAGGTTTGCACTCCTGATGGAGGAAAAGCAGCCAAATGACTCCTGTTTTTTTTCCCCTTCTCTCACTTTCTCTTGACCTATGGGAAAAGTAAAGAGGGAGAGAAAAAAAGTCTCTGCTTTTCCAATTTTTATCTCATCTTTTCCTCGGTGAGATGAGTTCAGGTGGTTCCCAGCACAGTTCTCTTCCAAGGCAGCAGTTGGCAGAGAAAAGTTACTGCTGTCAGATCCCCAGCTTGCCCAGGGAGCAGACAGGAAGATCTGAAGATACAGAGAGGATTAAAACTAGGGAGCTGAAGCAGAAAGGTTATAAAACTGAAAAAAAAAAAAAAAAAAAGTACAATCATGGAAAAACCCCAGAGTAGTACTGAACAGAAGAGAAAAAAAACCTGTAAAATTACTGCAGAGGAATAGGGAAAAGCAGGAGACTCAAAGTATTAGTGGCTAAATAAAGTGCTCAGATCTCTTCCTTTTAATGATGACATGCCTTGTTTCTTTATGATGGGAAGTGATGATTCAGATTTAAAGGGAATATTAGATTGTCCCATTACTGTGATTCTTGGAAAAACTAGAATAAATATTAATCATTTTCTGAGCATTAGGTGACTTCAAGTGAAAAGATGTTGCAATTCTAGAGAATGGTAATTGGGTTTAATTATAATGTAACTGACCTTCTGTGGTGTTAAAATGTTGGCAGAACTTGTTTGTCTTGGCAAGCCACCCTCTCCTAGAAGCTGCTGCTCTTGTGTTTGGCTTGGAAAGTTCATTGCTGTATGGAACTGCACATATGGATTTCTCCATCACCCATCAAAGGAATACAGAGAGATCTGAAAAGACCTCACTAAAGGAATGTGAAACTACCAGATTCATATCACCTGAAGTAGAAATAATAGATAATATTATCTGGATGTGCCTGTGAATTATCTAAGCCTTGCAATACTATTTATCATGTACTAAAATTTGAAAAATAAGGTGCTGAAGCACCATTTTTTTGGAAATTATTTATGCCATACTGTTAGTATATGTCACTTTTCTTTATATAGGTCTTACTTTTCTCATTGCCTAATTTGAATTCAGGCAAGATTCAGAGAATGTCAGAGATTTCCTTAAAGTAAAAAAAGATGCTGCTAGAATAATACAATGTTACAGAAACAGAAAAGTGAGAGGCAGAATTTCCCATGGCGTGAGGAAATTGTCTGACTCTGCAGATCCCAAGGTGGTTTTTGCTGAGTGTGGTGGCAGCACTGCTGACAGCCCTGGACAACCCAGGGCAGTTGTTTATTTGCTGGGTTTGCAGAATGGAAACAGATCCTGGTCCTCAGTCAAACTTTATTACAAACAGTGCCAAGCCTGGGAGATTTTAAAACTGAAATGTTGTTCTTCCTTTCAAAGTATACAGAAATTCAAGGGCTGTTGCTGAAAGCATTTTTTTTTAAATATATTGATATTTTTTAATATAATGTCATATATTATATAGATGTAGAAATAGAAATTACATGTAGAAAGTATATAAAGTTTTTAGTCCTTCTGGAGTAAAAACCAGATAAAAACCATCTTGAGAGAAGAATCAAGAGTTAGATTAGTATTCACTCAGTTTCTGATTTTTGAAGGGACCAGGAGAGGCTGGTGCTGGGCTGTAAAGCAGGCAGCAACATTTGAGAATTGTGGCCAAACAGCTCAGATGTTGGTGGCCCTTCAGGAGAGCACAAACCCATTCATGCAACCCCTCCTGGGGCAGGTGACTGCACTGGAGGAGCTTCTGCACAAACACAACCCTGCTCATTAATGTTAAAATCCAGTTTCTAATTTTAAAGTACCTAGAGTGGGCTTATGTCTCATTCCTTTGTTGATTCATAATGTTTTGAAGTTGTTTTACTTCTCACAGGTTACTTTTTTAGCCGGGGTCACTGATGGCTTTTGATACTTGATTCTGAATTTAAGTCATTCTCATTGCTGCTGGCCTACATTGGTGTTCATTTCAAACTTGGCACTGGTGTTCATGTTTCACCATCAACAGCTGAAGC